ATCAGTGCCCTGGCCAAAAAATCATCCAGTTTAATTTAGTCCGAGAATTACGGAAAACGTCAACGGGAGCACTGAAATATCTGTTTAATATGGGCTCTTCTCAGCCATATTCAATCTGTTGATGAGCAATAACTACCTTATTCTCAATCAAAACCACTATGCAAATGTAGTAGTAAAACTGCTCAACCGACCGAGAGCAGCGATTGTTTTAATTAATTCAGTGCTTTTTTTTTTTCTTTCTTTTTTTTAAACAACAGCCAATTCAATAATCCGTTAGTTTATTAAACACAGTGTGAACGTAATATTCTGCCACGACCCTTCCCATTTAATAGCTCAATTTAGTTCTTGAACTTATGGTGTGATTAACAGAAAATACAAGTCTGTGTTCTTAAACATTACTCGTGTGCCGCTCACCACAGGGGGGAATGGAATTCGCCCTCCCTCGTGCAGCCTGAGCAGACACCCGAAAACGGATAGGTCTGATTTAAACCCGTTGAAATCTCCAGAATTCGGCAATTTGTTTCAATTACAAATCCTCACATTGCTTCTTTTTTTTTTTAAACAGAGGTTCCACCTTGCTGATGCTTTCCTTAAGGTCTCTCCGAATATTTGCAGTGTGTGATTGTCCAGTAATTTAATTCTAGAAACCACACACAGCGGACATCGTTAAAAGTCGATGTTCCGAGGTTATTTATTAGCCCCAAATATTCTTATTGTTTTATACATGAGCTGTGCTTGCTTTTGTTGGCACTTGCCCCAGCAGCATTCACAGGAAAAACCGGCCAAGATAGAAATCTCCTAGACACCGATTCCTCAGGTTATAATTAAGCCTTCAAATGTACAGTGGAGAGACCAAAACAAATTGCACTCGCGCAGTTTCACAGATAATTGTGATACCGTCAATCACAGAGTCTGGTAAGGCAGTTGTTCAAATAGATTTGAAAAAAAGCACTTACCAGCCTTCTGAAGAAATCTCGGCATCCTATTCGTAGACGCCAAAATGTGAAGGTAAACTTCTGTTGTTGCAATGTTGAGGTAGAATGAAGGAGTCTGGAACCGTTGTTAGCCAAAAGCACTGAAGAGTTTTATTGATCACAGTACAGACAATAACGGCCGGGGAGATCACTTAGTTGCACACCGTCCCGTGTTTCACCAGCGATCTCTGAACCCAAAAGACACAAAACATCTAACCAACACGAGGAGAGGCGGGCTTCCAGAAAGCCCACGTATAATCAATTAGCCGATGCAAGACAATGATCTGCTTGTCTCAAAGAGATGCTGCCAGATCTCAAACCCCCCCACGGATATCGGAGCGTTTGTCCTGTGACCTCAACCTACAGAGAAGTCTCTGACTGACTACAAGCAGATGTTTGCAGTATCACAGACTCTAAGGAACCATAAAAGACTCTATAAACAGATCAGATGAAAATATTCTCTTACAATTTTGCCTTTTGGATTAAACGCTTGACTAAAGACCTTTTTAGCCTGGTTGTGCTCTTGAGTCCTATTTTTGCTCGTGCCCGTACTTGTGCTTGATAGTACGAACTGGCCAGCATGGACTCAGCCGACCAGGATTCTGTGCGGGCTGCTCTTCAGAGTCAAGGGAGGAGGATTTACCACCAAGAGGAGGAACTTACCGGGCTTCGCCAGGACTTAAAGTTGATGGCCGAGAGACAGGAGTCTGTTTTGTCGTCTTTTGGTGGGCAAGTCTGTTATTTGGTCGAAAATATCCAAAAACTATTACTCCAGCCAAGTCCTCCCGCTCCCCCATTGTCTGTTTCCCCAGTGGATCCTACTCCAGTCCAGTCTCCAACTCCGACCCTGTCTCCTCACCTCTCCCGACCAGAGCGTTTTTCTGGGGATTCCGGTGATTGTCAGGCTTTCCTGGCTCAGTGCGGCCTCCACTTTGAGCTGCAGGCTGCATGCTACCCATCTGAGCGCTCAAGGGTGGCATACATTATCTCCCACCTTTCTGGCCGAGCTGAGGCTTGGGCGACGGCAGAGTGGGTGCGAAGGTCTCCTGTTTGTGACTCCCTCGATCTCTTCTCTGAGACCTTCACCAAGATCTTCCAGCACATCCCACCTGGGCGGGGCAGCCAGAGCACTCGTTGGATTGCGCCAGGGCAGCGGACAGTGACTGGAACCAATCAGCATTGTTTGATGCTTTCCTTTATGGATTGTCCGGCACATTAAAGGATCAGTTGGCTCCTCTTGAGCTTCCAGCTGATTTGGACTCCCTAATTTCATTGACTATTAAGATTGACAAGCGACTGATAGAGAGGGAGCGAGAGAGAGACACTGCGATTCCCTACATCCTTTCCTCAAGTATAGAAGTACAGATACTCGTGTTTAAAAATACTCTGGTGAAAGTAGAAATACTGACTAAACTTCTTTGCTCAAGTAAAAGTAAAGAGGGCTTTGAAATGTACTTCAGTAGAAAGTACCCATAACTAGCAGCTGTTTTAAAGAGTACCTGACCTCCCTTTATATTAATAGAACAATAATGTCATTGTTAGCTAATGAATGTTTCCATGCTGAACAACGGCAACATGACAACGTTTCCATTGGTCCCTCTTCTTTAGAGAAGACCAGGAAATGATGGATACACGGATCGTGTTCAAATCAATAGGCACGCAATGACTCTAAATAATAATGATCACGCACCAAACACACATTCAGACTAAAGGAACCAGCTGTTTGGAAAATGAGAGAAGTAGAAAGTACAAGTATTTGAGTTCAACATGTAAGAAGTAGAAAGTACAGGTATTTGTGTTCAAAATGTAAGAAGTAGAAAGTACAGGTATATGTTCAAAATGTAAGAAGTCAAAGTAGTCAGAAAAACAAGTAGTGGAGTAAAGTACTGATACCAGAAACATGTACTTGAGTACAGTAACAAAGTATGTGTACTCCAATACTTCCCACCTCTGCAGTTCAATCATCTATCTTGAGACTTTCATCTATGCTTCATTCGGCAAGGATTTGATCCCAGGCCATGAAATATGGCTGCCTGTTGCTTTTCTAACTAGGTTTTGACAGGTGCTAGTTTATTATTATTATTATCATATATAAAAGGTCCAGCCTTTTATACACTCAGGTCTTTACACTGGCTTCTTGTCTGTCAGTGAACTGATTTTTAAATACTGCTGCTGGTTTGAAAAGCATTGAATGGTTTATTGTGATCTCCTGCTACATTACAAACATGGAGCAGTTCAGTTATTAAGCTCCAAATATCTGGAACAAACTACATGAAACCTTATGGTCCTTTTTAAATCAAGCCTTTCATATCTCACAATATATAACATGTATTTTATATATGAGCTTGTTTTATGTTTATTGTATTCTCTTTGACTGTTTTTTAAATGCCATTTCATAATGTGTTTCTGCTGCACTCTTTTTTAAATGTTGTTCATGTTTGTAGAGCACCCTGTGTTGAAAGGTGACCGTTAGTCCGCTCTCCACACCTCACCTGTTATTTAGTCACGTGTTTTCTCTCGGGGGGTCACAGAATATAACGGATGACATAACTAATCACATCTGTTAGCATTAGCAGCGTGTTCACCATAAGCCTTTTTAATCGCTTTCAGACACCACATCTAACCGTTAACTGACAACACCTGAAGTAAAAAGTGACATTAACTGTTAGAAAACCTCCACGGTGAGTCGATAGGCTTTAAAAGTGAATTAAGGGACGTTACAGAGCTCAGATTATAATGTTTTTCTTGTTAGCTGTTAGCAGCAAATCGATGCTCCTGTTTCTACGGTAACATGACGTCATCACGCTGCCAGGACGCACAGACTTTTATCTCATTCTTTTTTTTAATGCAATAAGATAATGTACATTTAAAAGTAGGATATTATTTACATATAAAGGCAGTTGGCATCGAGACATAACAAATACAAATATGGGTCATTCCAGAATTGGAGGACAATTTAGACACCAACATTTTTGAAAAATTAACCTTTTATTTAGGAAAAACAGATAATAAACCATCAAAAAAAGTGATTTGCCCAGCTAGGCATCAAATTAATATTTTCCAATGAAGAATTACCCCTGCTACTCTAATTATAGTAACAGGGTTGAAAATCAATGCTAATTTGAGCTTTAACCTCAGGAATTATTGCTAGATGTAGCATGTAATGCTACTTTCAAGGCAAGGACAAACTTGGATATCTAATGAAAGAAAGATAACTTTGAAATGAATATGCTTTATTCTGATAATATCAGTAACAGGGTTGAGTGGGTCAGAGTGCCACACTCTTTTAAGACTGAAAAGATTGTAAAAATATGAAAAATAAAAGAGAGGATTTAGTTTTGGTCTACCCATGGCACTAGGCTTGCTGATGTCACTTCCTGTGTGTCATCTGATTTACAATTTTTTCACTTCCTGTGCCAATCTAAAAAGGTTTGGGTAACAGGGTTGAACGCATGTTGAGGGACACACCTTCTGTGCGAAATTACTGTTATCTAAAATATGTTTATGATTTAACAAATTGGTTTTACCATTACAAGAGACATATATCAATAGAATAATACCAACAAAAGTAAATAAAATCCCTATTTTAAATGTTATATTTGACATGCAAGTTGGTCACCAAGAAGCGGGGACAAGAGAAAAATGCCATTTTAGGGGATGTTCGAGAGCTATTTGATCATTTAAATAATATTTTGAAACCACTTTTTCTACAACTTTATATACATTTTGTCTCAAGACAAGTATGTTTAACACAACAAGTGCATGTTTTAGCATTTTGGGCATGGATTATTAGTTTTTTTATATGGGGGACATGAAATGTCCTCCAATTCTGGAATGACCTATATACATTCAATTTAAAATAGCTTTATTCTTATTATTACTTACTTATTACAGCTAACCAATCAGAGCAGATGAGAAAAGTATGATTAAAATAAAGAGCTTTTTGATCATTAAAGCATGGAGACATGTCACACAGTAAATACTAATATACTCCTGAAAAAGATGAATAAATCACTGAAGCTCATATTTGATTTACTTACTCCGTTTATTCAATTGTATTAGTCATTATTACAACACATAATCACACTCAGCAGCAACCACTGTTCTTATGTATTTCTTCATTAGTCGTGACTTCCACCTGCTCATAACTCATATTTTATGATTCCCATTTAGCTCAGGATTTCCTTCCTGCTGAAATGCTTCTTTAAACTTCAACACAAACATTCAGTTTCTGCATTCAGGAGGTCGAATCTGTCTAAAGTAGGTATAGAAAGAAAGTAAACATTAAGGGACATTATCTTTATTGCACAAAATATGTAAGATATCTAAGTGTCTTAATAGCTTGGGTGATTCATCTGTTTTGAATCAGAGGCAACGGTATCGTCAATTATCTCAGGTGTTATCGTCAGGATTTATTCTTTGCAGTTTAGTCTATATATATTTTTTAAAGAATTTAATAATCCCTGCACACAGGGGCAAACACTGCGGAGCTGCCTGCAGATGATGGCACTGGATTAAAGTTAAACACACATATTACATTCTTACTCAATGGTCTTTATTTCGTCCAGGACATGGAGATGATGGCTGGGTTTTTGTCCACATATTTAGAGGCTCTGCGCCTCCTGCGAGAGCGAGGTTTGCAGGTCTGTGGGAGAGAGAGGAGCGTTACTTTATGGACAGATTTAAGTATTTAAAACACTGTTTGTATACCAAGTATGTAAGGCATAAACACAACCGAGACACTCTTAACAAAACCTACAGCTTTTCTTTAATGTGTTCTTCAAGTAATACAAATAAGTTAGCTTGGATAACCTCAGTTAGCTTAAGTAAGTAATATAGCTTTGGTAGCTAAAGAAGGTTACCTGAAGTAATAACATTGATTGATTGATACATCTTATTTCGAACAAGTACAATTAATCATTACAAATAAAATGTTGCAGTGCATAGTCATGTAAGAGAAATCAAAACAAAAAATGACATTTACAACAACAGCATTAGCAACATCAACAGTCCCACATCTAGTGTTCGAAAAGGAGTGAGAATAAGTATAATTTATTTAATCTCACCCCCTTGTCCCTAAATGATTTATTTATAATCTGCAATAATTATCATTATTATTATTATTATTAATCTGCTTTAACTGTTGATTGACATATATACATATACACATGTGTAAATGTATACACACACACAACACACACACACACACACACACACACACACACACACACACACACACACACACACACACACACACACACACACACACACACACACACACACACACACACACACACACACACACACACACACACACACACACACACACACACACACACACACACACACACACACACACACACACCACACACACACACACACACACACACACACACATACACACAGACATAGTCAAACACCTTCCCCATCCCTGTACCTCGAGAAAATAATTTCTCTGTATTTCCTCTTGAACTGGTTAATGTCTGGACATCGCTTTAGCTCCACGTTCACACTGTTCCATAGTCTGACTCCACAGGTTAGGGTTAATGTCTGGACATCGCTTTAGCTCCACGTTCACACTGTTCCATAGTCTGACTCCACAGGTTAGGGTTAATGTCTGGACATCGCTTTAGCTCCACGTTCACACTGTTCCATAGTCTGACTCCACAGGTTAGGGTTAATGTCTGGACATGGCTTTAGCTCCACGTTCACACTGTTCCATAGTCTCACTCCACAGGTTAGGGTTAATGTCTGGACATGGCTTTAGCTCCACGTTCACACTGTTCCATAGTCTCACTCCACAGGTTAGGGTTAATGTCTGGACATGGCTTTAGCTCCACGTTCACACTGTTCCATAGTCTGACTCCACAGGTTAGGGTTAATGTCTGGACATGGCTTTAGCTCCACGTTCACACTGTTCCATAGTCTCACTCCACAGGTTAGGGTTAATGTCTGGACATGGCTTTAGCTCCACGTTCACACTGTTCCATAGTCTCACTCCACAGGCTGAGATACAAAAAGTTCTTCTGGTTGTACGGACCCTATGAATTTAGAATTGAAATTGTTTCCTTGAACTATATCCCCCCACTCGTTGAGTGAATACTTTTTGGATGTTTCCTGGTAAAATGTTATTATTTGCATTAAACATGATTTGTGCCGTTTGGAATTCTACCAGGTCTGTACATTTTAACAATTTTGACTGGAGGAATAATTCGTTAAGGAAGTTAGCTTAGACAACCTAAGGATAGCTTGAGTAGCTACAGTTAGCTTGAGTATCTACAGTTAGCTTGAGTAACCAAAGTAAGTTATTAAAGAAATGACATCAAGTATTTTAGCTTAAATAACCAAAGTTAGCGTAAATAACCTAAATTAGCTTAAGTAAGTTAGCTTTAGTAGCTAAAGTTAGCTTTTGTAACAAAGTAAGTTACCTGAAGTAATACAAATAAATTAGCTTGGATAACCTCAGTTAGCTTAAATAACCTCAGTTAGCTTTGACCAATAGGGTGCCTTAAAAATAACCATTATCAAGATGCTAGTTTAGCATGAGCCTCAGATTACTAACAGTAGGCTATCAAATAGGTGACTCTATTTTCTTCTTCTGAGATGCAGAACTTCATCTAAGTAAAAAACATTAGATTGTAATTGTGTTTCTAGTCTCTTCTTACCGGCTGGCAGGAGTTTCCCATCCTGACGCACAGCTCCAGTTTGCAGTGCAGGAAGATTTCTCTGTTTCCTCCGTTGAACTCGAACATGTTTAAAGAGAAAACGTTGGAGGTTCCCTGTCCGTTTCCACTCAGTCTCACCGTCTCATCGTTAGCGTTCGGGCATCTGTTGAGGAACAGGAACACAGACATCATGACTACATGTTCAGCAGCAGACCTTTCTTATGATGCCCCAAACATAATATGTAAAGTATCAGGATGTTCTGAATCTGCAGTCTGCATTTCTGGCTATTACTATTATGACCCACAACCCTCTGATTTACACTTCCTGTCCAACCCAGTCTCACGGCATTTCGTGTTATAGTCACGACATTTAATCTATTGATTCGTGTTCACCAACAAGATGTTCCCCTTTTTTTCGTGTCACACAGAACGATTTTAAAAGCATTGCATTTCTATTGGTAGTATGTTTCGTGCCTGCACCACGTCTTTTTGTCCGGTCGGGTCTTGGAAGACTGGAAGCTGTGGGGTTCATAAAAACATGTTCTTACTAAATATCAAGCCACAATTATTGTTTTTAATTTTAAATCGTATAATGTCGGACTTTTTTTGCCGTCCGTGAGGAAAATAAATGGCTCAGAGCCTCAGAATACTGAAATCTGCATTTTTTTGAAAATATTTTTTTCCTTCTAATTTGTTATTCTTTTCTAAATAACACACAATTATCCTTGTTTTTATTTATTTGTGTAATTCTATAATCTCGGGCTTTTTTGGCGTCCGTCAGGAACTGAATTTCAAAATAAAATAGCCGGAAACAGACGTTGGCCTATAAGGGACATTTTGAGCATCATTGCGATACACAGCCACTGAACTGATTACCCAAGATCCTCAGCTAAGCTCGGTGATTGGATGTTTTAGCTGCAATGCATGTTGGGATATGGTGTTAATGCAATATGAAATCCAAAAAACATTTCAGAACTACACATGCTCGCTATTGTGTTTCGCAAAATGTGCTATGGGACGTCTCTACTGGGAACGTTTTCGTTTTTCCCACAATTAGAAGTTGCCAGTATTAAACACATTGGTGTTATCAAATGGGCTACAATCCACCGTCTTGGCGAAGACCACACCACACCACCCATAATCACAACAGTCACAGCAAACATTACATTACATTACATTACATTATTACATTACATTGCATTTAGCTGACGCTTTTGTCCAAAGCGACTTACAATAAGTACATTCGACCAGGAAGACACAACCTTGAAGAAAACAGAATCATATAAGTATATCAGGTTTCATAGAGCCAAACATTTCAAGTGCTACTCAACTGGCTTTAGGTAATCCAGTCCTTTATTAGTATAAAAGTGCTTCGTTAATCGTTCTAACGCTCGAAGTGGAGTCGAAAGAGATGAGTTTTCAGTTTGCGCCGGAAGATGTGCAAGCTATCTGCCGTCCTGATGTCAATGGGGAGCTCATTCCACCATCTTGGAGCCAGGATAGCAAACCCACGTGTTTTCGCCGATGGGAACTTGGGTCCCCCTCGCAGCGAGGGCGCAACGAGTCGTTTGGCTGATGCAGAGCGTAGTGCACGCGCTGGGGTGTACGGTTTAACCATGTCCTGGATGTAGGAAGGGCCAGATCCATTCGCAGCACGGTAAGCAAGTACCAGTGTCTTGAAGTGGATTCTAGCAGTTACCGGAAGCCAGTGAAGGGAGCGGAGGAGCGGAGTGGTGTGGGAGAATTTAGGAAGGTTGAAAACCAGACGAGCCGCTGCATTCTGGATGAGCTGCAGAGGTCGGATGGCACATGCAGGTAGACCAGCCAGGAGGGAGTTGCAGTAGTCTAGGCGTGAGATGACGAGAGCCTGGACCAGAACCTGAGTCGCTTTCTGAGTCAGCTGGGGACGTATCTTCCTGATGTTGTAAAGCGTGTATCTGCAGCAGCGGGTTGTAGCAGCGATGTTTGCAGTGAAGGACAGGTTGTTATCTAGGGTCACACCCAGATTCCTTGCAGTCTGAGTCGGGGAAACAACTGAGGTGCCGATGTTGATTGTCAGGTCAAGAGTTGGACAATCTTTTCCCGGGAGGAAGAGCAGCTCAGTCTTGTCAAGGTTGAGCTTGAGGTGGTGAGCAGACATCCACTGAGAGATGTCAGCTAGACAAGCAGAGATGCGTGCGACGACCTGGGTCTCTGAGCGGGGAAAGGACAGAATTAATTGGGTGTCGTCAGCGTAGCAGTGGTAAGAAAAACCATGCGGGCTAATGACTGATCCGAGCGAGTTTGTGTACAAGGAGAAGAGGAGGGGACCAAGAACAGAGCCCTGAGGGACCCCCGTAGTTAATTGACAAGGGTCGGACTCAGACCCTCTCCAAGTCACCCTGTAGGTACGGTCTTTCAGGTATGAGGTGAGGAGGGAAAGTGCAGAGCCAGAAACTCCAAGTTTTTGGAGAGTGCGAAGGAGGATCTGATGATTCACCGTGTCGAATGCAGCAGACAGGTCCAACAGGATGATGACAGAGGAGAGGGATGCAGTTTTGGCAGTGTGCAGTTCCTCCGTGACAGCAATGAGAGCAGTTTCTGTGGAGTGACCTGCCTTGAAACCAGACTGGTGCGGATCCAGAAGGTTGTTCTGATTGAGATAACAGGAGAGTTGTTTAAAGACAGCGCGTTCAAGTGATTTAGACAGGAACGGGAGGAGAGAGACAGGCCTGTAGTTTATAACATCAGACGGGTTGAGAGTGGGTTTCTTTAGGAGAGGGTTTACTCTTGCCTCCTTGAGACTGTTTGGAAAGTGACCAGAAGTTAGAGAAGTGTTGATGAAATGGGTGAGAGACGGTAGAATATCAGGAGCGATAGTCTGAAGGAGGTTTGAAGGGATAGGGTCCAGAGGACAGGTGGTAGGGCGGGCAGAGGTAATGAGGGTAAGAACCTCACTTGGAGAGAGAGGGGAAAAGGAGGTTAGTGTGTTGGTGGAAGGAAGGTCTGGTGACCCAGCGGTGAGTAAAGGTGAGTCAGAAAAAGAAGAGCGAATATCATTAACCTTTTTTTCAAAGTGGGTAACAAAGTCGCTTGACAGAAGTGAGGAGGGGGGAGGAGCTTTTGGAGGGTCCAAGAGGGTGGAGAAGATGGAAAATAGTTTTTTAGGATTGGAATAGGAAGATTGGATCTTATCTTGAAAGAAAGTGCTTTTTGCCTGAGAGATCGAAGCAGAGAAAGAGGAGAGGAGAGCAAACTCGGTTGCATCACAGCTGGTGGCCAACGGCCGTAACCAACACCGCCGCCAACCCACAGGAGAACACCACCTGTCCCCGTGCCTCTATGCGCTAGCCGGCATCTCTCCCCCGCACATCAGACGACTAGGTATCGCTCAAGATGAACGGAGAACACAGGAGACAGACATCAGACACCCCTTGCATGGCCACGTAGCACCCCCACGCAGGCTCCGATCCAGAGCCAGTTTTGTGCAGACAGTCCTGCCCCTCCAGACAACTAAACAAGCAGCAAGGACCAACATCTGGGAAGATGAATGGCAAATAAATGACACACAAGCTCTTGAATGGCTGGACAGAGGAATCACACCAACGGAAAGCCTCGCTAGTGGCCACGACCTTGGCTGGACAACCTGGAAGTCACTTGAGAGACTGCGTGTGGAACAGGGGAGGTGCAAAGCACTGATGAAAGTGTGGAACTACACCACAGAAGACACGTGCAGCTGTGGATCAGTGCAGACAATGTCCCACCTACTGGAATGTGCCGATGCCCCCCGGTGCAGTCCAGAAGACCTGGCAGAACATACCCCATCAGCTGTGGCGTGTGCCCGATACTGGCAGAACGACATCTGAGATTGCCACGGACTCGAAGAAGAAGAATCAAATGTAAAACATATAATTAATAAATGGGTGAAAATGGCTTGTGTCCATAATGGGCAGCATTAATATATACCCACATGACAGCGCATCTCTAGGTCGTCCTCAGACGAGCCCTCCATTGTCACTTCCAGTCATCCCGGTTCTCCATACATCTGGCCAGTTCATTGGTACTTTGTGCTCCTGCGTCATTCTTGAGTACGTCAGCGTATGTTGGTGTCGGACGTCCTCGTGACCGATGCTCGTGTGTTGGTTCCCACAGCACCAATTTGCTGGCTGGCAGCTCTTGATGCCTTTGGCAATGTCCTGCTAGTCTCATTCTCCTGGCTGCAATTTTCTCGCTCACCCTATTCCCTCTTACAGGATCTTGTTGGTTACATGTACATTCCTGCTGATGTTAAGTACTGCTCACAACATTCTGGTGTAGCATCCGTCTAGAGACTTTTGCAGGGTTGGCTTCAGGGTCCCGCATTCACTGCCATAGAGGAGAACAGACTCTACTGTTGCATAGAAGAAGCTGAGTTTGATTTGACGGGGGAGGTTGGAGTTCCATACACTGGTCATGCCGTTCAGGGCCCTCCATGCAAGTGCTCTCCTCACCTTGAGATCTTGCTCGGTTGAGTTGACCCATGAGCCCAGATACTTGAAGCCCTTGAGTTCTTTAAGCACAGTGCCTTCTGTTGTTTTCAGAGGTGGATGTTCCGGTAAGATGTTATAGGTGATAACCTCAGTTTTCTTGGCATTTAGCCAAAGGCCAACCTTGGCACACTCTAACTCCACTCTGTTCAGGAGTTCCTGTGCTTGTTCCACGCTGTCGGAGAGCAGGCTGATGTCGTCCGCATAGTCCAGGTCTGTCAGGACTACTGTGGGGTATCGTCTCGACCTCCTTGGTGTTAGAGTGAAGCCAAGATCCTGCACTCGTCCACTGATGGCCTTCCTGAGCGCATAATCCAGGACTATGATGAAGAGGAAGGGGGCTAGGGTGTCCCCTTGCATTACCCCCGCCAGGATGTCAAATTCCTCGCTGTTGCCATCTGGGGTCACCACCTTGGCCCTTGTTCCTGCGTACATGGTCTCTATGGCCCGGAGTAGGTTGGGAGGGACACCGTATGCCTCAAGGATCTTCACCATTGTGCTTCTGTGGATCGAGTCAAATGCCTTTTTGAAGTCGATAAAGCACAGTACAGCAGTCAGGTTATCCTTTTTCACCTCCTCATTCTCCTTAGTGCCAAGATCTGGGCTACGGTGGTTCTCTCCTCTCGAAAGCCATTCTGGTTCTCCCTCAGGTGAGGGT